GCCGTCGCCGGCGACGCCGAGGGCGACGGCGCCCGCGGCGGCGAGCGCGGGGTCGAGGGTCCGCGCCCACCAGTCGATGAGGGCGCGCTGCGCGTTGACCGCGTCGGCGGGCCGGACGCCGCGCGCGGCCGCGACGGCGCCGACGCGGCGCCACTCGGGCGGCGGCGGCCGCGACGCGCTGCGGACCCGCGTCGCCGCCGCGTAGACGTCCTGGGTCTTTTCGCCGCCCTCGCTCAGCATGGAGAAGCGCGCGCGCTGCTCGTCGAGGCCGAAGGCGTCGGGCGCCGGCACCCCGGGCGGCGGCCGAGGTGGGCAGCCCAAAATGGCTGGAGCCGATGTGTATAATCAATATCGATATTGGGTCGGCCAAAAGATGGTGAAGCCGAGTTTGCCCCTCTGCCACAAGCCCGATGGGTGCTCTTCGAGCACCGACGCTGCTGCTCCTCGTCGGCTGTGCACGCGCGCTGGTGCCACCGGCATCGTCGCGTCGCCCGTCGCTCGCGCTGGGCGCCACACGACAAACCCACGCGCTCACGTCCAGCGACGGCGACCGGAGCGAGTGCCTCGAGCTGCCGACCAAGCACGAGAACCGGCGCACCTTCGTCTTCCGCGGGTCGGCCATGCTGACCATCGAGACGTGTTCCTTCTACGAGGGCAAGCTCGGGCACGCGATCTGGCCAGCGGCCGTCGCCGCGGCGATCTGGGCGGGCGACCGGCCCGAGCTCTTCGCGGGCAAGAGCGTCCTCGAGCTCGGCAGCGGCGTCGGCACCTTCGGCATCGCCGTCGCGGCGCTGACGCCGGCGACGCGCGTCGTGCTGAGCGACCTCGACGCGGTCGACGAGCGCGACTTCGACGCGCCGACGGGCCTGCTGTCGGCGCAGCGCGCAAACGCGGCGAACAACGGCCTCGAGTCCGTGTCGTCGATGCGCCTGGACTGGGACGACGCGGGTTCCTGGGGCGACGAGACCTACGACGTCGTCCTCGCGGCGGACTGCGTCTACAGCCCCGAGGCCGTCGAGCCCCTCGCGCGCGCGCTCGCGCACCACCTCGCGGACGACGGCGTCGGCTACGTCCTGTCCATGGACCGCGACTGGTCCGACGCCAAGTACCCGCGCGCGGCGCCCGCGGACCTCGAGGCCTCGCTCCGCCGCGACCTCGCCGTCGCGCGGAGCGACTGGACGGCGACGACGGCGTCGGGCGACGCCGCCGCCGTGCTGCTCGAGGTGAGGAAGCGGTAACGTTTTTTGTCTTAATCCCCGGACTCGCTCACGCCGTAGTGCTCCTCGCGGAGCGCGGCCATGTTCACGTCCATGCTCGACGCGAGCTTCATGAAGCCGCGGCCCGACGGCGAGCTCCGGCCCGACTGGGCCATGGACGCGCGGCCGCTCTTGACCGCGACCGAGCTCCGCGCGCCGCGGTTCATGGCCATGGACGCGCGCGTCGCCGCGAGCGACTGGCGCGCGCCGCGCTGGGACGCGGCCTTGGCCATGGACGGGCGCGGCGATCCCCGGCCGGCGACGACGGACTGGCGCGCGGCGCCGCCGCCCACGGCCATACTGGCGCGCGCGACGTTGCGCACGGACTGGCGCGCGGACGACGGCGACGGCGACCGGCTCGGCGGCGCCGCGGCGTCGTCCCCGCGGCGCGTGCCGGAGCTCGGCCGCACGACGCGCGACAGCGTCGACTCCCGGCTGTGGACCTGGAGCTGGCGGCTCCGGTCGTTGCGGAGCGTCGACGGCCGGCCGCGCGTCGCCGCGGGGCGGAACGTGGACCGCGAGCCCCGGAGCGCCGCCGGCGACGCCGGGGCCAGCGGCCGGGGCTCGCCGCCGAAGCCCTTGGGCGCGTGGCCCGCGCCCGCGTCCGCGGACGCCGCGCCGAAGGCCTCGAGCCGGCTCCGCGCGTCCGCGCCGAGCTCGGACGTCGATTGGGGCTGCTTGTGCTTGGCGAGCTTCGGCGGCGCCTCGCCCGGGGGCTTGCGCTTGAGCGCGAGGTCTCGCAAATCCTCGGACCGGGCCTGCCCCCCGCGGCGCGCCGACTCCTCGTCGCCCCGCAGGGGCGACCCCGGCGCGTCGAGCGCCGCGATGTTGCGCACGATCTCCGTGATGCGCCGGTTCGACGCCTCGCCGGCCTTGGGGATCTTGTTCCGCACCGCGCGGTTCAAGTAGTGCCACATGCCCTCCGCGGGCGGCGCCGCGCCCTTGCCTCCGTCGCGGTTCTGGTCCGCCCTCAACAGCCGCTGCGCCTCCTTGACGATGACCGGCGACGCGTCCGTCTCGAGGCCGCTCTTCAATAGCAGCAACTCCGCCATGCGCAGCGGCGCGGGCTCGTGGTAGAGCGTCGGCCGGAGCGTCTCCTTGAAGGACGCGAACGGGCCGACCTTGTCGTCGTCCCACGACGCCGCGGCCGGCGACGGCGTCGCGTAGAGCGCCAGGAGGGGCACGGGCGGCGCCTTGTGGCCCGGCGCGAAGAAGTCCTTCTCCTCGCTGAAGCCGCCGCCGAGCGGGCCCAGCAGCAGGTCGCCGACGTGCGCGAGCGCGTCTTCCCCGACCAGCTTCCGCGAGACGTTCGCGCTCAGCCGGAAGTTGTGCTGCGAGATGCGCCGCGTCGGCTGGTCGCCCAAAATGGCCTCCTTGATCGTGCCGAGCCAGGTGGAGAACGTGAGCAGCACGTCCGCGTTCAGTAAATCGAAGCACCGGAGCTCCGACACCGCGCCGGCCTCGAGCGTGCGCCGCAGCACTAATAGCAAATCGTCGGCCGTCGCCCGGGGCGTCGCCTCGAAGACGTGGAGCCGCCGGCCGTAGAACTTCGCGAGATCCTCGACCGCGCGCCGCGCGGCGTTCGGCTCTAAACCGTCGCGCACGGGCATGAGCCGCCCGCCGCACCACGCGTCGCGCGTGCCCCCGACCAACGCCAGCAAGCTCCGGTGGCTCAGGGGCGTCAGGGTCAGGCGGCTCGCGGCGGACTCGTACTCGAGCGCGTGGGGCACGTCCCCGTTGCACGCCTGGCACCGGAGCGAGCACTGGCGCCTTCTAAGCTCCGCGTCGCGGTGTTCGAGATCCCAGGACCCGACCCAGCGGTGCTTCGGCCGGAACTTCCACTCGAAGTCGTCGACGGAGCCCACGTCGTAGACGCGCATGAGCTGGAGCACGTCGCGCTGCATGACGCCGTAGGCGACCAAGCCGGACGCGCAGAGCCAGAGCCGGCTCGCGGACGGCCGGCCGTTGAGGACGACGACGTAGACGGCGATGCGGTGGGACACGCGTCGTTCCAGGGTGTTCCAGAGCTTGGAGTCGACCTTGGACTCGCGGACGTGCGCGTGGCCGTGGTTCTTGGCGAGCGCGTCGGCCTTCTTGACCTCTAATTCATAAAGCTCGCAGGCCAGGGGCTCGTCCTTCTTGGAATCGTCGCTGTTCATGGACACGCCGCTCATGTGGCTGCCCACGGACGCACCGGACGGCCGCCGGTGCCGCTCGCGGTTCCGCGAGTCGCCCTCGCCCTCCTCGCGCCTCCGCTTCTCCACGAGCGACCCCACGGACATGAGGCTCTGGGCCGACCCCCGCCGGTGGCCCTTGCGGTCCGGCTGGCACGAGGCCATGATGTCCTTGGCGATGCCGCCGCCGACGATGAGGTGCTCGCGGTACGTCTTCGCGCACGGCTTCAGGCCTGGGCAGGAAAAGGGTGATTCAAGTTCTCTTCAACATGAGTGTTCCGCGCGCGCGCGTTCCGTAAAACACATCCACGCTTCGAGACCGTTCCGAGAGATGATCGCTCGTCCAGAAATCAGCCGAAACGAGTGGGAAATGGCCGAGATCGGAGCCTTTGAAGTTGGGAATTTCGCTCTCTTTTCCCGCACGGCGTCAGGCCGGACTTGCGGAGCGCGTCCTCGACCTCCTTCGTCCAGTAGGCCGACGCCGCGAGCACGGCGGACGCCGCCGGGAACGTCGACTCAGCGCAGGCCAGGGGCCAGGGCAGCGCGGCGCCGAGGCGCTGCGCGGCCTCCTCCGCGTCGCCGCCGTCGTCGTCCGGTGACACGCCGGACGACGCGCAGAGCGCCTCGAAGACGCCCTCGAGCAGGGCCCGCTTCAGGCCGTGGTGGATCTTGGCCACGTCCTCGGCGAGCACGCCCGTGACCTTGAAGCCGCCGTCGTGGAAGTGCAGCTCTTCCGTCGCGTCGGACGACCGCCAGCCGATGACGGACGTCGCCGTGACGGCGTCGGGCGCCGCGACCGCCGCCGTCGCGCGGGACCGGCGCCGCTCGGGCGAGGACGGCCCCTCCGTGGAGCCCCGGGGGCCCTTCGGGGCGTCGCTGTCGTCCTTCTTCTCGAACATGCTCTGGCGGAATTGCTGCGTCGCGCGGTGCGCCTCCGCCTTCACGGGCGGCCGCGCCATGGACAGGTGGCGCACGTTGGGGAGGAGCTGGTAGTGGATCAGATTGTTCACCTCGCTGGACACGGACGCCGGGGGCTGGCCGCAGAAGATGCCCCACTGCATGCACGCGTGCACGAGTTCCTCGTTGCCCAGCCAGAGGAGGCAGGGCGCGATGGACCGCTGCTCGTCGAGCCACTGGTTGAGCTGGGCCCGCGCGTCCTCGAGCTGGGACCGGCAGTTCGCGAGCGCGGACGCCGCGGAGGACGACGACCGCGCCGTCGACCGCGCCGTGCCCCGGCGGCCGCCGCCGCCGAGCGCGGTGTCGTCGAAGACGCCCAGCCGGCTCAGCCGCTGCACCTCGACGAGGCCCCTCTGTAGAAACGCGTAGCCGCCGTGGTACTGCTGGGCGATGGACAGCGGCGCGCGCACGCCGCCCGCGAACGCGGGCCGCAGTACGGACGCGAGCATGACCAGATCCAGGACGTCGTCGAGGATCGCCTCGGCGCCGTCGAGCTTCGCCTCCCAGCGCGCGGCGCCGGCGGCTAAAGTCGCCGCCGCGCGCGCCTTCGCCTTGCCGGAGACGCCCGGCGGCGCGTCCGGCGGCGGCTTCGTCGCCCAGGCCCGGACGGCCTCGCGGCACTTGACGCAGCCGAGGCGCAGGGGGCCCCGGGGGCCCGCAAAGTCCTGAAAATAAGAAACCTTCTCCGCTGCCGAGTACTGCAACACGGGCGCCGTCGACGTCGCGAGCTGCACGCCGCGGTGCGAGCCCTCGGGCCACGCGTCGTTCGCCGCGGCGTCCAGGTCGGACAGCGCGCGGTGGATCTCCGACTCGTAGACGACGGCGGCGACCTTGGACGCGTTCTTCACCAGACCGCCGTCCAGTAAATCGCCGACGTTGAGCTTCGCGCGCGCGCCGACGTCGCAGACGCTCAGGTGCTGCGTCGACGCGCCGTAGCGGTCGAGCGTGTCCTGGACGGGCTTGACGTGCATGCGCGACGGCGGCCCAGCGGTCCATGCCGTGGGCGCCCCAGAAGTAGCGGTCCGTGAGCGGCAGCGCCGACGCGAGCTCCCGCTTCGACCGGTCGATCGTCACGCCGAGGCGGAACCGCGCGGGGTTCGACGCGGCGCCGACGAGGCTCAGCTCCTTGGCCTCCTTGGACGCCGCGGAGCTCGCGGACTCGCGCGTCGAGCCGGAGACCTTGGACTTGTCCGCGACGGAGGACCCCTCGTCGTCGACGTCGTCGCCGTCGCCGCCGCCGCCGTCGCCGTCGTCGTCGTCGTCGTCGTCCATGGACGACGACTCGTTCGCGTCGCTCTCCTCCTCGGACTCGGACTCGCTCTCCTCGTCGGACTCGCGCATGACGGCGAGGCCGCCGCCGCGGATGCCCTGGCTGTAGGGGTACTTCTCCTCCTTCTTGTGCTCGCGCGTCTGCCGGAGCCAGGACCGCCGGTTCTTCGCGGAGTTCTCCGTGTCGCTCAACAATTGCTCGTAGGCCCGCTCGCCCTTGGCGATGGCCTCCTTGAGCAGGCCGTGGGGCGCGCCCTCGCCGAACTCCGCGTTCACGGGCGCGGCGCGCCACGCGGCGTGCGCGCGGTCGAGCGCGTCGAGCGCGCTCCACAATGTAAACTGGAGCTTGATGCGCTTCTCGGCGAACTGGAGGTTGACGAAGTGGTCCACGACGAGGGGCTGGGGCCCCTGGTTCGGGTCGTGGCGCGCGGTCTCGCGGCCCGCGACCGTCCGCCGCGGCGCCGCGGCCTCGACGCCGAGGTCGGACTCGGCGATGAACGCGCCGCGGTCGAGCGTGCCGCCGTGGAAGTGCGAGTTGTAGAGCTTCTGGTAGCCCACGAGCTTCGCCGCCTGGCCCCGGGCGATGCCGTGCCGCGTCGTCAGGTCCCGGAGGTGCGCGAGCGCGGCCGCGGGGTCCGACGCCTCCTCCCGCAGGATGCCCTCGTCCGCCGCGTTCAGGATGGCCCCGATGCTCCGGTGGAGCTCGCTGCAGCGGCTCCGCAGGATGGTCCGGAAGTGGTTCCGCCGCTTCGAGCCGTGGACGACGCAGTCCCGCAGGCTCAGGTCGATCTGCGACCACTGGTCCTGCAGCGCCGCGTGCAATTCGTCCTCCAGGCAGGTCGCGGCCTTGGCCGCGCGGTAGCCGACGCCCTGGCCGCCCTCGCGCTCGCGCCGCCCCCGCACGCCGAAGCGCACCTTGCTCTCTTCCAAAGACGTCAGCCCCTCCTCGTTGCCCACGAGCTTCACGTGCAGGTTCTTCAAAGCGCCGACCTCGTTCATGAGGCTCAGCTTCCGGAGGCACTGGTCGTAGGTCCGCCGCTTCACGCGCGCGTTGCGGTTCGACGTCATGCCCTGGGACTTCAGGAACTTGTGCAGCGACGCCGTCTCCTCGTAGGTCTCCTCGAGCCGGTCCCAGTCGCCGCTGAGCTCCTTGAGCAGCCCCAATTGGTCGAAGAAGTTGTCGAGCGTCGACGCGTGCGCCATGAGACGCTCGTTCGCCGTCGCCAGGCGCCGCGTCAGGTCGACGCACTGCGCGGCGAACAAGCTCGGCAACGCGCCCTGGAGCAGGTTCTGCGCCGCCGTCGCCGTCGCGGTCATGGCCTCGCGCGCGGACGTCGGCGCGATCGTCACGGAGCCGTTCAGCTTCGTGACGTCGCGGAGCGTGCCCGCGCGCGCGCCCTGGACCTGGATGGCGTTGACGAGGTACTGGAGGCGCCGCATGACCTCGGCCTTGGCGCCGTGCTCCGCGGCGACGCGCGCGTAGAGCTCCGCGCGCGCGTCGTCCTCGTCGGGCGGCCAGAGCGCGACGAACGCGTCCGTCGCGAAGACGATCGTCGGGTTGTCCTCCTCGCCGATGGAGTCGTAGTCGCCCTCGCCGCGCGCGAGGCCCGCGGCGGATTTTAAAGATGGACCGACCCGGCGCATCCAGGCCAGCAGCACGCCGTGGGCCTCGAGCATCTCGTCGTTCGACTTGAGGTTCTCGAGGACGAACGCTCTCAGCTTCGACGTCGCGCGCATCAACGCGGACCGCGCGTCCCGGTAGACGCCGTCGCTCGCGAGCACCGTGACCCAGTGCTGGCCGAGCCAGCGGCGGTCGCGCGGCACCTTGGCGGGCTCGCCGTCGGCCGCGGCCGCGGCCGCGGCGAGGCTCCGGAGCTCGTCGAGCCCCGTGCCGCGGACGTTCGCCGGGTGCTGCTTCTTCAGGGACCCTCTCGTCAAATTGATGGACGCCCGCGCCGTGGCGATCATGAGCGTCGACGACCGCTTGCCCTGGCGGTCCACGGTGCCGAGGTCGTCGGAAGTGGTCATCATCGACTGCATGATTTCCTCGGACGACACGACGAGCGACCGCAGGATGTCCCCGAGACCCGGCACCTTGCGCATGATCCAGAGCACCCAGCCGTCCCGGTTCCGCTTCGCCTCCTTGACCTCCTGGTCCTCCTTCAGCGGCGGCTTGCAGTTCATCGCGAAGAGATAGGCGAGCTGCTCGTGGCGGTCCAGCGTCGGCACCGTCGCCAGCGCGCACAGGAGCGTGTTCTGCAGCACCTCGAGCAGCTTCTTCAGCGCCTGGGGCGACGGGCTCAGCTCCATGGTGTGCTCCGCGTAGTCGCCGTCCTCGAGCGACGCGTCCTCGTCCTCCTCCATGCACCGCACGTTGATCGCGACCTGGGCAGGACAAGGGTGATTCAACGTCGCTTCAACGTGAGTGTTCCGCGCGCGCGCGTTCCAGAAAAAAAGCATCTACGCTTCGAGACCGTTCCGAGAGTTGATCGCTCGTCCAAGAATTAGCCAAAACGAGTGGAAAACGGCCGAGATATGAGCCTTTGAAGTTGGGAATTTCGCTCTCTTGTCCTGCCCTGATCGCGACCTGCAGCGGCGGGTAGATGGGCTCGTGGATGTCGAAGACGGGCTCGGGCTCCTCGCCGTCGTCGTTCGCGTCGTCGTCGGGCTTCTTGACGGTCTCGGCCTGCAATCGCAGGTCGTCGTACCACCGCTCGAGCTCCCTCGCGTAGCGGATCGCGAGCACGCGGTACGCGCCTAAGAACATGAACTCCACGAGCCGCCGGAACCGGCTCAGCTTCGTGATCAGCGTCCGGCGCCGCGCCGTGTCCGTGTAGTAGGTCGGCACGCCGCCCCAGGCCGCCGCGGCGAGCAGCTCGTCGTCCGTGAGGTCTTCTCCCACGACGGACGCGCGGACGACCGTCGACGCCGTGCTCCGCGCGGCGAGGTAGCCCGTGCCGCCCGCGAGGCGCATGCTCTGGCGCAGGCTCCGCTCCCGCTCCGCCGTCTCGTAGGCCGCGTGGGGGCTCGCCTTGCGCGGGTGGAGGCTGAGCTTCTGTTCGGCCAGGAGCGTCGCCGTCGCGTGCTTGATCACGGCCGCGAGGCGGTCCGACGTCGCGTCCGCGTCGCGCTGCACGCGCCGTAATACGGCGATCTGCGCGCCGACGAACACCGCGGGCTCGACGCCCTCGGCGAGCGACTGGTCCGCCAAGAACTTGACGCGGTGGAGCACGTGCGGGTCGACGTACTCCGCGGTGGACGCGGACGGCGACCCCACCGAACCCTGGGGGCTCAGCGCGGGCGCCTCGGCCTCGTTCAAAGCCGCCAGCGCGTCGGGCCGCTCGCTCGACGCCGTCGACTCGTCCGAGCTGTCGTCGCCGTCGCTGCTCTCGTCGGACGACGCGTTTTCCGCCGCGAACGCCGGGTTCGCCATCGCGCGCGGCGTCGCCGGCGCCGCGGCCCCGAGCTTCTCCGCCTCCGCCTCCCGCTTCCGGTCGCGCGCGTCCTTGTCCAAAATGCGCTCCAGCGCGTCGGACGCGGCCCAGGCGAGCTCCGCGCGCGTCACGTGGAGCGGCGCGTCCTCCAAGTCCCCGAGCTCCCACGTCGCGCGCGCCAGCGCCGCGACCAGCACGCCGTCGTCGAGGCGCGCGGCGCAGAGCGCGTCCCGGTGCCGCGCGAACCGCTGCCGCGAGAGCACGCGATGCCAGGCGCCGAACATGCGCCAGAGCCAGTAGTTCTTGAAGACGTGGAGCTTCTTCACGAAGTGGTAGAGCCGCGCCTCGCCTGGGCGGGAAAAGAGTGATTCACGTTCGCTTCGACATGAGTGTTCCGCGCGCGCGCGTTCCGGAAAAAAAAACATCCATGCTTCGAGACCGTTCCAAGAGGTGATCGCTCGTCCAAGAATCAGCCGAAACGAGTGGAACACGGCCGAGAGAGGAGCCTTTGAAGTTGGGCATGTCGCCCTCTTTTCCCGCCCCGCGCCTCGCGCTCGTAGGCCTCGAGGTCCACGAACTCGCCGGGCGTCGCCGTCAGAGCCGGCGCGGCGAGCGTCCGCGGCACGTCCCGCGGCGAGTAGTACATGGCGCCCGTGCTGCTCAGCGTCACGAAGCCCACGCCGAACTTGGAGAAGCCGAACTCGTCGGGCAACGCGCGCGCGCGCGCCGCGTCCCGCTCGTCGACGTCGAGCCCCTTGACGTCGAGCATCTTCTCCACGTTCGTCGCGGAGACGACGACGAGGTCGTAGGGGTTCCAGCTCGTCGGCTTGAGGCCGTTGAGCGTCGCGAGGTCGAAGCGCGACACGCCGCAGAGCGTCGTCTTCACGTGCCGGTCCCTCCGCGCGGCGACGAGCATGTGCTGGACCAGGGGGTCGAGCCAGCGCGGCTCGGAAAGCAGCACGTCCTCCTTGCGGATGACGACGCCGATCCTCGTGTGGTAGGACGCGTCCGTGGACACGGACGCGAGGCTCGGCACGCGCGGCACGCGCGCGGCGATCAAGAAGTCGTCCGTGACGTGCTTCTCGACGTCCCAGGGCTCGAGGAGGCTCGAGAGCTCGTCGTTGAAGTCCACGTGCTTCTCCTTCGTCGTCCGGCCGCGGAAGGCGTCGCCGGCCTCGGCGGCCGCGCGCGGCGCCGCTGTGCCCGGGCGGCTCGGCGGCCGCGTCCACCGCTCGACGGTGGGGCTCGTCGGCCGCGCGCTCGCGGGCGGGTCCCCGGGGAGGCGCCGCCGGAAGGCCTCCCACTCGAGGAAGCTCGCGTGCGTGCCCGCGGCCGCGGGGTTGTGCTTGCCGAGCCGCGGGTCGTCGCGCGGCACGGGCGGCGCGCCCGCGGGCGACGTCCGGGGCCGGTCGTCGTCGGTCTCCGGCCCGTCCACGGCGAAGCTCACGGCGGGCAGCGGCGGCGCCGCCGCGGGCCGGGGCCGCGGCTCGAGCGCGCCCGGCGGCGACGTCGCGGGCGCCGTCGACGGCCGCGGCTCGCGGTCGACCTCGCGCTGCAGGTGGGCGATCTTGCTCGCGCGCCAGCCGAGGCCGCGGCCGCCGTGGCTCTTGGGCCGCGACCGGTGCCGGTTGTTCTCGCGCATGAAGCGGTTCACGAGCTCGCGCGGCGTCGTCTGCCGCTCCGGCGCCGTGAACACGGGCCCGGGCCCGCCGCCGGCCGGCGCGGACGGCGGCCGGCCCTTGGCCGGCGACGGCGTCCCGTCGGCGTTGGCGCGCACGAGGCGGCCCTCGGACGTCGCCGGCCGCTGCTGCTTCGGCGCGCTCACGCGGAACGCGTTGGGCTGCCACGCGACGTGCTGGGATGCGCCGCCGGCCTTGGCCGACCGCGGCGGCTGGCCGGGCATCTGCACGTCGAGGTGCAGCGTCCGCGACGCCGAGCCCTGGCCATAGGTCAGGGTCGTCGAGTCGTCGCTGATGCCGCCCATGCTCCGCGGCGGCGCGTGGCGCTCCTATCAGGCCTTCATGCTTCCCGCAGCACCGGCGGTTTTGATGGCGGGGCTGGAGGGCTGGAGGTGACGGCACTTTGGTTGACCTTGACGCCGGCCCGCGCTTGGGAGAGGCTGGGCTAGTCGTCCAAGCCCGACCGCCGCGCCGCGCGCCGCGCCGCGACCCGCGCCCGGCTCGTCCCGACCCGCCACCGCGCAGCGCCGCGTCGGTTCGTAGCCATGGAAGATGTCAGTGACGATGACTTCGTGGATGATGTTGACGGTGACGACATGGCGAACAACATGTTGATGGCTGCGAAGGACGACGATCTCGCAACGCTTCGCGCGCTGATCGCGCGGGGCGGCGACGTGAACTGGACGTATTCCCTCAACGCCGACATGTCGCTGTTGAAATACGGCATCAGTCGGGACGCGTCTGAAGTGGTCGAGCTCTTGCTGCAGAGCGGCGCCACCGCGACCTTGGAAACGCGGGATAACGATGGCTGGAGACCGCTGCACATCGCGTGCGTGAACAAGTCGTTGCGCTGTGCTCCTATCTTGGGCGCCTTCGGAGCCGACCTGAACGCGAAGACGAATCGCGGCATCACCGGGCTTCATATTTTAGCCGCTCACCGCGACATGGAAAGGGCCGCGCTTGTTGTCGCAGCTTTCCTCAAGGCCGGCGCACGGCCCGACGAAGAGACCTCCGCCGGGAAGACGCCCCTGTGCTTCGCGCTCCAGCGAAACAATCACGACCTCGTCAAGATCCTCCTCCGAGCGGGCGCTAGCGCCGAGATAGCCAACATTCACGACCATCCCCTCCGCCACCTGCTGGACGGCGTCAAGGCCGCGGGCGACTGGAAGCAGTGGTGCTCGAAGCACCGCGGTGTGCTCTCCGGCCTCGTCGCCAAGCTCGCGCCGCGGCCGGGAAAGCCGGGAGCGCAGCGCGCGGGGCGCGCGCGGCGCGCCGCCGTGGCCCGGTCGTTCCCGCTCGACGCCGCGAGCCACATCGTATCCTTCTGGGTCCCAGAAGGTGGCTCCTAGTAAGACCATGTTTCTCATCTTCGCGGCCTGCCACGGCAAGATGAAGTGCAAGTGCTGAGGCATTCGACGTGCTCAGCTGACAGAGTGTGGGCCGCGTCTACAGGCGACCACGCGCCGCGCGCCACCCCTTCGGCGACACCGCGCCGAGCTCTTCGCGGGCCGCCGCAGCGCTGCGCCGCGCGGGGCGCCGCGCAGCGCGCCGTCTTCTACGACGCCATGGATGAAATACAAATGTTTGGTGCTCTTACGGATGATGACGTCGAGGCACTTCGGAGGCTTATAGAGCAAGGCGCCGATGTAAATGCGACCCATGTGGCCAACGGCCACATGTCGCTTTTACGTGCCGCTGTTGGTCGAGGGCGCGTTGAAGCGGTCGAGCTCTTGTTAGAGAGCGGAGCCGAGCCGTCCTTAGAAAGGCCGGATCAAGACGGTTGGCGTCCGCTGCATATCGCATGCTCTAATTTCACGGACAGCTGCACATTTCCTTGCGTTCCCGCCCTATTAGCCGCGGGCGCCGACGTGAATGCGAAGACCAACGATGGATCGTCCGCACTCTATCTTGTATCTGCTTGCCGCGACCTGAAAAGTGCTGCGTCTGCCGCCAACGATCTCCTGAAGTATGGCGCACATGCTGATGAGCCTACCACGGCGGGGCATACGCCCCTGCTCGTCGCGATGTTCCGAAACAATCGCGACCTCGTCAAGGTCCTCCTCCAAGCGGGCGCCGAGCCCGTGGAAATACGCAGAGACCGCAGAGACCACCCCGGGGCAGTGTTCTACCACCTGCTCGACGGCGTCAAGGCCGCCGGCGACTGGAAGCAGTGGTGCTCGAAACACCGCGGTGTGCTCTCCGGCCTCGTCGCCAAGCTCGCGCCGCGGCCGGGAAAGCCGGGACCGCAGCGCGCGGGACGCGCCCGGCGCGCCGCCGTGGCCCGGCCGTTCCCGCTCGACGCCGCGAGCCACATCGTGTCCTTCTGGGTCCCAGAAGGTGGTTCCTAGTAAGAACCATGCTTCCCTACCGGGCCGCTCGCTTGCACGGCAAGATGAAGTGCAAGATGCAGAATCATTCGACGAGATAGAGCTAGACGAGGTGGGCCGCGTCTCAGGGCGACCAAGGCGCCGCGCGCCACCCCTTCGGCGACACCGCGCCGAGTTCGTCGCGGGCCGCCACAGCGCTGCGGCGCGCGAGGCGCCGCGCAGCGCTGCGCCGCGCGAGGCGCCTCAGCAGCGCGCCGTCTTTCACGACGCCATGGATGAAATCACTGAACAAATGTTTTATGCTCTTGGGGATGACGACATCGAGGTAATTCGGAGATTTATAGAGCAAGGCGCCGATGTAAATGCGAGCCATGGCGATTATATTTCATCTTTATTTACCACCGTCGCTCTGGAGCAACATAGAGTGCTCGAGTTCTTGTTAGAGAACGGAGCCGAGCCGTCCTTAGAAAGGCCGGATCAAGACGGTTGGCGTCCGCTGCATCTCGCATGCGCTAACCGCACACACTCTTGCGTTCTCGTCTTACTAGCCGCGGGCGCCGACGCGAATGCGAAGACCAACGAAGGAACGTCCGCGCTTTTTCTTGCATCTTCTTGCATCGACAAGAAAAGTGCTGCGTCTGCCGCCAACGATCTCCTGAAGTACGGTGCACACCCTGATGAGCCTACCAACGAGGGGAATACGCCCCTGCTCGCCGCCATGCTCCGAGACAATCGCGAACTCGTCAAAGTCCTCCTCCGAGCGGGCGCCGAGCCCGTGCATATTCGCAGAGACCACTCCGCGACACCGTACTGCCACCTGCTCGACGGCGTCAGGGCCGCCGGCGACTGGAAGCAGTGGTGCTCGAAGCACCGCCGCGTGCTCTCGGGCCTCGTCGCCAAGCTCGCGCCGCGGCCGGCGAGGCCGGGGAAGCCGCAGCGGGCGCGGCGCGCGCGGCGCGCCGCCGTGGCCCGGCCGTTCCCGCTCGACGCCGCGAGCCACGTCGTCTCCTTCCTGTGTCCCGAAGGCGGCTATTAAGGTTAGCGCACCCCCTCACCCCTCCAGCCCCTGGAGCCCGCGGCTCGCCGGGTGCCAGCGGCAGTCGTCCTGGATCTCCGCGGACGTCGTCGGCTGGATGGCCTTCCGGGAGAGGATCTTCTCCGACGCGCGGCGCAGGACGTCGCGGTGGATGTGGGTCTGGAAGTCGAGGGGGTCGCCCGTCTCCGTCTTGGCCGTGAACTCGCCCGGGTACTGGCGGAGGTCCTCGGCGAAGTCGTGGGCCTCGACGTACTCGCCCTGGCTGAACATGGAGTAGGGCGGCGGCCGGAGCTTGACGGACTTGCCGCTCGGCAGCTTCGCGTTGCGCACGATCTTGAGCGCGCGCGACTTGACGGGCCCGTGCAGGATCTCCTTGTTCCGGTCCGTCTGGCTCGGCCGGTCGATCTGCAGGAAGTTGCCGACCTTGAAGTCGAGCGAGTCGACGACGACCTTGGACCGGAAGAGCGCCTCCTCCTTGCGCTTCGTCTCCGCGGCCTCGGCCGCGAGGCCCTCGCCGCAGAGGTGCACGGACCGCAGGTACTCCGTGTCGCCGTACTTGTCCTGGAGGATCGCGCCGCGGGGCAGCCGCGTGATGTCGCCCAGGTGGCTCCCGTCGTACTCGCGCTCGAACTTGGGCCGCCGCAGGCCCCCGAACTCCATGGCGCCGTTCGACGGAATCGTGTCGAAGTCGCGCGCCGGGTCCACGCGCAGCGACGGGTCGTCGGACCGGCCCAGGTCCGTGGCCTGGAACTCGTTCTCGACCCACTCCTCGTTGAGCTCGACGACGCGCGCGTCCGACGGCTTCTTCGGGTGCACGTTGTACTCCGCCGGCGGCTTGGGCGCCGGGTAGACGAAGCCCCGCTTCGTCTTCCACTTGGCCTTGGACTCGGCCGCCGCGTCCTGCTTCAGGCGCGTCTCGTCGACCAAGGGCACGGTCAGCGACAGGTAGTCCGCGTGCGCGTCGCTCGACCGCACGAAGAGGACGTTGCGCTCGTTGCGGAGCCGCGCGCGCTGCTCCGCCTTCTTGAGCTCCGTGTACTGGAGCTTCTGGCCGCTGTAGACGTAGGTCGCGGGGATCTTGTCCGCGGCGCGCTCCGCGGCGACGCGCGCCTTGCGCTCCTCGTACGCCGCGGCGGCCTCGGCGTTGGCCTCGCGGCGGAGGGCCATGTAGTCCTGCGTCGTCCGGTTCGCCAGCGCGTGGAGGAAGGCGTCGTTCTTCGTGTCCGTCGCGGCCTTGCGGCGCGTCGACTGCGCGGCCTTGGCGACGGCTTCCGGTAAATCCACGGAGACCTCGGCCGCGTCCTCGGCCGCGCCGTCCTTGGAGACGCGCCGCGACGCCGTGGGCGTCGCCGCCCGCGAGCCGTCGCGCGCGACGGCCTTCGGCGGCCGGCCGTCGATGTCCGTCATCGTGATCGGTTCGCCGAACTTCGATTCGACCTGCATGAGCATGTGGACCTCGGGCAGGCCGCCGCAGCGGTTCAGCGACAGCTGCTTGAGCGACGGCACGCGCCGGAGGTCCATGAGGCGATCCAGCGCCTCGAAGCACTCCGCGGAGACCTTGGTCCGATTGTAGATCTCCGGGCTCTCCGCGAGCACGGGCAGCGGCTCGCGGAGGCGCACCTTCTTCAGGTCCGTGTTGAAGGCCGTGAAGAGGCGCTGCGTGAAGCGCACGGTAGCGTCCGCGAGGATGCGGTAGGACCCGTCGTTGATGCCCCGCCGCGGCGCGGCCGCCAGGATCTCGGCGACGGACGACGCCAAGCCCTCGAAGACGACGGTGCGGCAGTCGGAGTCGATGACGTGGAAGCCGCAGACGACGTCGAGCTCGCCGGTCCCCGCGAGCTTCACCTCCTCCGGGCTCAGCTGGTAGCTCTTGAGCGAGCCCGTGATCGTCGCTCCTAAACTCCGCGTGTTCACGTCGTCGACGGCGCCCGTGATCGCCGTGAGCACGCCCGAGTCCGCGTAGGGGAACAAGATCGCCGCGCGGCTGAAGGGCGCCGCCGACGGCGCGAGGCGGTAGTGGATGGGCTCCTCGTGGAACGTCTTCGTCGCGCCGGAGTGCGTCGTGCCGCTCCCGACGGTGCCGCTCCCGAGCGAGCCCGTGCCGTCGAGCGAGTGGTCGTCGCCCCCGTCGAAGGCGGGCGCCTCGCCCTTGTCCGCGGGCGAGCTCTTCTCGCCGCTCGCGCCCGTGTCGACTGTGTCGCCGTCGTCGCCCTTCTTCTTCTTCCTGCGGTCCTTCGAGCCCTTCTTCAGCGAGCCCGCGGGCGACGCGAGCACGGGGAAGGGCTGGTCGCCCAGCGTCTTCTCCCAGAAGGCGCCGTCGAAGTAGAGGCCCTCCTTGAGCGTGCGCAGGGGCCGCTCGATGGCGACGACGAGCGCGACCTGGGCAGCAAAAGGGTGCGAAATTCCCAACTTCAAAGGCTCCTATCTCGGTCGTTTTCCGCTCGTTTCGGCTGATTTTTGGACGAGCGATCATCTCTCGGAACGGTCTCGAAGCGTAGATGCTTTTTTCGGAACGCGCGCGCGCGGAACACTCACGTTGAAGCGACGTTGAATCACCCTTTTGCTGACGACGAGCGCGACCTCGGACGCCGCGTCCGAGTACGCGCCGGGCCGGGCCGCGAGGCGCTGCGCGTCGTTGAGGCGCCAGTCGTCGACGCCGCCCTTGGGCGTCACTCTACGCTTCCGCGCCGTGACGTCCATTTTGGCTTCGACGACGGGCCGCTTCCGCAGCGACGGCGCGTAGTCCGGCAACACTTTTTTTTTCAGCGACCGCGCCGACGCGCCCGTCGGGGGCCGGCTACCGCCGTCGTCGCCGTCGACGGAGCCGTCCGGCGCCGGCTCCTCGCCCTCGGCCGCGGCGACGGGCGCCGGCGTCTCCTCGGCCTCCTCGACCTTTTGGGGCTTCTTCGCGCCCTTCTTCGCCGGCGGCGCGGCGACCTGGAGGCCGTTCGCCGTGCGGAACGCCTTGGACAGGGCCGCCGCGGAGTCCAGCAGGCCCTCGACGCGAAATTCGGCGAAGCCGTGGGCGTGGTCCTCGCCCGCCTTGGCCCAGGACGCCAGCAGCGCCTCGAGGTATAAGGCGTCGACCTCGAACGCGTCGGGGGGCAGGGGGATGTCGTCCTCCTTGGCGTCCTTGCGCGAGCCCGACGCCGTGTTCGGCCGCGACCCCTTCTCGGAGCCCTTGTCGCCCTCGTCGGCCGGCGCGTCGCCGTCGCCCGCCGGCGCCGGCGCCGCGCCGTCGTCCTTGCTCGCCGACTCCGCGGACCGCGGTCCCCCCCAGCCGCTCGCCCAGGCCACGGCCCTCTTCGCCTTCTCGAACTCGTCGCGGGGCGCCGTCAGGAAGGCCTCCCACTGCGCCAGGCACAGGTCCGGCGCCGCGTAGATGCGCTCCAGCGCGCGCTGCTGCTCCGCGTCGTCGCCGGCGTGGCCGTCGTCCGCGGGCTCGTCCGGCAGCAGGTCGCGGTCGTGGACTTCGACGACCACGGGCTTCGTCGCGAACATCTCCTCCAGGACGGCGCGCTCGATGGTGCCCGTGAGGTAGGCCACCGTGTGGTCGAAGGGGATCGACTCCGCGGAAAACCGCAAATCCGTCGCCGACGCGCGGCCGAGCGCGAGCGTCGCGCGGCCCCGCCGCGTCTGCGCGAGCTCCTCCGGGTCGCCGCCGGGCAGTAAAGGCGGGCGAAAAACCAAGAAGGCGCCGCGGCAGTAGGTCTGGAGCAGCGCGTGGGGCGACGGCTCGACGTACTTCTTCAGCGGCGCGCTGTCGGTGCGGACGCCCGGCAGCCCGCGCACCTGTGTCGAAATCAAATCTTCAACCCGACTTCAATGTGATCATATGCGACGGTTTCGACGCAAGCTCTTCTTCTATGCTTCGAGAACTCAACGAGAGCAATCGATTCGTCCAAAAATCAGCCGAATCGACGTCGATTTGACCGAGATAGAGAGTTCTGAAGTTTGGTGGGGACCCCCCAAACCAGTGGTTGATTTCCACACAGCCCCCGCACGGTGCCCGCGCGGACGCTCAGCGGGTTGTGGCGCCGGAGCATGTCCGGCGACATCAGCGGTTGTTGTTCGTTGGCGAGGGACACGGTGACCCGGAAGTAGGAGAAGAACTTGCGCGCCGCCGCGTCGCCGCCGGGCGCGCACGCGCGCGGCGCGTCCTCGGACAGCTCCGCGAGCGTCTCGTCGTCGGAGTCGTCGTCCCAGTGGGCCGCGCGCTTCGCCGCCGGCGCGGCGACGTCGGGCACGGTGCCCGCGTCGCGCACGGCGCAGACGGACGACTCGTTGACGAGGAACGCGGACAGGTCGACGTGGACGGCGTGCGCGTAGTTCACGTCCCGCGCGTCCTCGCCCTCGGCGACGTCGGCGCCGCCGCGCACGCCGAGAAAGAAGGCGACGACGGGCTGCTCGTTCAACGTCTCGAGCGCCTCGTCGTTGACCGCGATGTTGTGGTCCTTCGAGAGGCCGTAGACGACGGCGTCCTCGGGCGGGTCGAGGCTGCCCCGGTCCTCCGGGGCGATGCCGCCGCCGGGGCCCAGGGGCTTCCACTGGGGGTCCCCGCCCTGGCCGCCCAAAGCCGCGCTGCTCACCTGGTCCCCGTTGGCGAAGGTGTAGCGCACGAAGAGCGCCGGCGGCGGCTCCTCGGCGTCGTGGCGCGGCACGACCTCGACGGCGACTCGCAATCCCACGTTGTAGGCCTTGGCGCCCTTGGACGAGCTCGAGCTCGGCTCCTCCGCCAT